GATTAGGTGAAATAATTACAAATCTAAGGTTTCACTTTAGAATAGGGGGTTGGTTTCTAAATAGAGGTGATTTACTATTGAGATACTGATAAAAGAAACATTAAACTCATGCTTCAAACAGAAAAAATAAACAATTCAGATGGAACACAATGTAACCAATTAATTATTTGACAATAGAGTCCATTAATAATAATTCTATGTAGCCTCAATACTCAGATAAAGGTTATGCACAAGACTATGATGTGAAATACACAAACTAAAGAGCTATGTTTCTTAACTCACCCTAGTTATTCCTTCATTAAGTAGCAAAAGACAACCTTTTAATTAGGAGCTAATGGCTTATTAAGGTTTAAAAAGAGCGTTATAAGTATAACCCAAGAAAGATTCACACAAAGGAAGGCAGGCCATGGTGAATAATTCATCAGGCTATAAGTCATATCTTAAATATTGAGTTTAATATCTTATCAATTGAATGAACAAAGCCAAAATATTAACTGGATATAAATACAACACTAAGATAATATTGGGGATATCACTGCTTATATATATTGCATAATTAAAAATAATAAACCACATAAAATTGTGGAATGTTCTCAGGAAAATGGGCAGATCATAGCATCTCACTCTTCTGATGAGAAGCCTCTAAACTGATCAACACACCACTGTCATGACAGAAAGTGAACAAATAGATTGTTTCATATCTGCAAGTGAGTAAAGCAAGGCTGCCCACTATCACCATATTTGTTTAACCTGTATGCTGAACATATAAAAGAAGCAGGACTGGAGGACAATGATGAACATCGATAACCATTGATATGTAGAAGACACTCATAGTGAAAAGTTAGAAAGCCCTGAAGGCTCTTATAAAGAAAGTTAGAGAACAGAGTGAAAAGAAGGGAGTTCAGCTAAACATGAAGAAAACATAGGTTACGACAAAGGGAAATACTGCTAACCTGACTATTGATGGTGAAAATACCTTGTTTTGACTTGTTTTTTTATTTACAATAAAACAGTAGAGAAATATAGTCGGCAGAACAAAGATTACAGAGCTTAAAATGATCTTCAAATGTAATGATGTGTCTTTCCAAACAAAGATCAGGTTTGTCCAGGCTATGGTCTTACTTGTGGTTCTTCTTCATCGATGTGAAAGAAAAAGAATCCTTGAGTAAATCAAGCTTCAACTCTCACTGAAAGCCCAGATACCCAAGCGAAGCTGTCTTATTTGGGACATTTTATAAAGAAGAACCAAATTATTGGAAAAGGCAATGATGAGGACTCATTAACAAGCCATTAAGAAGCCTCAAGACCCAAACAGGAGACAGGATATTCTGGAGAAACACTATTTATATGGGCATGTGTGCTTATATCCTATATTTTGGTAACTGCCCAACATCGTTGCTACCATATTCTCTGCTGTGGAGTGTGATTCTAAACTGACCACGGACCACTTTTAAACTATGTCTAGCATATTAAGTCCAACAAACTTGTGTCTGAGTTTAATTATGTTGGAGTAAAGAATATTCATACTTTTAGTAGGATCAATAAACAAAATCAGGCATGTCACATGGTGGAGGGACAAACTTTACAAGACTGTCCGCTGGAAGTTCTAAGAGAACAACAAGTACAACAAGTCACTAAACAGTATTTTCGAGCAACTTAAAACTCTAAAGAAGACAGATAATCAGAATTATCTGTAGTTTACAGGAAAGAATTCAAATGCATACATTCTATATTACACTACTTTACAACTAGTCTGCCTTTAATAGGATTAAAATAAGTATTTTAGCATTTAGGCAAGAAAGAACCAGAGGGAAACATTGTGCATGTGGGCAAATGCTCTTTTATCGAATGGACAGCAAGGGATAACCACTGCCCAGCACTATTCAACATGAGAGCAACAAGTTAATCAAGTTAACCAACTACTTAAGAGCCACACAATCAGATAGTGGTTAACAGTATGCAGAAACTTCTGTGATTTCTTAGAATGCTCGTCTGCAATATCAGTACTGCAAAGGCTAATAGTGTGATCTCTTGTGCAGCCCTAGAATTTACACAACTCACATGCTCGAAAAACATTTTTAGAAACTGCCTCTGTGGTTTTTGTGGTTGGCCTGTACTTTCGAAAAGCTTGGTGCAGCATCTGCGTCAATTGTCTATTTCTGTTTGCGATCCAGGACAGCTTACTGTCACCAAAAGTACACAGTGTCCTCCAAGAGTACTGGAACAGCAAGGCAAGTCCTTTTGTTATTGCTATACACTAAAGAATTGAATATGAAATATGAAAATGAATATGAAACAATAGATCAGAAACTCAGCTTTTATTTGCTGAGATTTACATTTAGATGTGCTAAACAACCTTTGTTTGAACAAACCTATTTTTCAAGTGAGCAAAAATATTGGAACATGTGAATGACAGGTGTTACTTGTTGCCCAGCTGTGCCCTGTTAGATTTATTGTTGAAACAATTAATAGCTGAATGTCTACTCTTGGTTTGAGCCCTGGGTTTTGCCTGTGAAGACTGCATTTGATTTTAAACCAACATGAAGACCAGACAGCTGTCTTTTGGGGAAAATGTATAATTAAAATTGAATGAAGTAGCATTACTGAAGGCCTTGATGTTTTGGTCTCAAATGCAAATTCAACATTATATTCAACAAATTAAACATTATATCATATAAGATATGACGACATCAGATTCATCAGCTTGGGGAGAAGGTCCGAAGTACGACAGATGTTACATTGTTGTACTAATACACATTTACACCAAAGAATCTCCAAATCACAAAAAATATCATATAAATCACAAATACAGTGCAGCTTTAATATGTATTTAAAATATATTATTGATTTACAACAGTATAACTCATATTCAGATTTACTTCCAAAAAGGCTCTGTTGTCCACTGCATCCCAGAATGCATCCTAGCTGGTACAAATAGCTTGTATCCCAAACCACCCTTGAGCTAAGACACTGACAGAAACAAAAGACAGTGCTGATACATAGACAGAAAGACATATACAGAATTAAGACACTGCATCAATGCAGTGCAATGCATTTCAATAACTGCAAGATCAGTGCTCATTTAAGGGCTTCACAAAGAGATGGTATTTCAGTTTGTGTTTGGAGAAAACAAAGGACTCTGCTGTTCGGACAGCCAGTGGAAGTTCATTCCACCACCTGGGTGCCAGGACAAAGAAGAGTCTTGACACTTGTCTTCCACGCTTCTTAAAGGATTATGGGTCAAGCCAAAAACTTAAACTTGAACTGTACATGAAGCTCGAAGGGCTCAAGGTATGGACAAAGTTTTAACTATTGCCATAAGGAAGAGAAGGCTTTGTCCATTTTGGGTTTATAAGCAAGCATCAGGGTTTTAAACCTGATGTGGGCAGCTGAAGGAAGCGCAGCAGTGGAGTGACATGAGTGAACTTAGGAAGATTGAATACAAGCTGTGCCTCGGTATTCTGAATCAGTTGCAAAGGCCTGATGGCCCACATAGGAAGACCAGCCAGGAATGAGTTACGGTATTCAAGCCTTGAGATGACAAGAGACTAAACAAGCACCTGGGTGGACTCCCTAGAGCGAAAGGGTCGAATCCTCTGGATGTTGTAGAGGAGGAACCAGCATGACTGAGTCAGGTTCGATTTACTAAATGCTAATTAAGTTTCAAAACTATACATAACATGTAAATTTGTTAGGTAACTCTGCTTGCTATTCAGCAACCATGTCCTGATGACAGGAAGAAAACAAGGGCACACTGAAAATGTTGCCATGGATGAGTCAGAGATCCAGAGCTTTAGCAGTGTCAATTAATTATTTAAGATACTCATTTATTTTTTATATATACTCATTTATTTTTTGTTAATTAATATTAGGTGTGCCTGGACTTTTGGCTAAAAAATATCAATATCTGATTTATTCTACCCTTGCAGCCGTCAGCAAAAGTTGGGAAAAATGAACTTTCCTCTGACTGCTGCGGTACGTTGCCGTTACCAACTTAACTTGTGGTCACAATATATTAATTTGTGGCCTTGTCATGAATTCATCTTAGGGGTTCCATATCTACCGCCTTTGCGGGTCATTATAGAGCAGGTGGGGCAGAAACGAGCTCGATTGCACGGCTACATATGGGTCATGCTAGGATAAACTATTAGGAGAACATGTACTGTATGGTACCTACTACAAAAACAATAGACCACAATGGTAAACAGGAAGTCATCAAGACCTTTTCTAACAGTGTCACCAAGAAAACAGAAGGCTCCCTGGCCAGAAGAAAAGTAATTCCCCATACAGAAAATAGGCCTTGACAAAAGCATGCATTAAACCAGTAAAACCAGTTCTCTCATTTTGTAATCTGAAGACAGTCCTGCATGCATTTATCTGTTCAAGCTTCAACCGCTGTGGCTCCCTATCCCTACCACTGTGAGCAGTTCTGACTCTGCCAATCGAATTTATCGCATTTAAAGCTTGTGCAAAATGCAGCAGTAAGAAGAGAGCACACCTCTCTGGTTGTTGCATTGTGTCACTGGTTTCTTGTAAAATTCAGAGTAGATTTTAAGGTTATTATATTTGTTTTTAAAGCTTTACAATCTGCACCACAATCTATCTCAATTCAACCATTCAACATTTTTCTTTGGGGACTATTTTGCCTTGCAACACCCTGCGTGTACCCCTCCGCCATGAGCAAAATAAATCCAAGTCCATTTTAAGCCAAAACTTTATTTCGAAACCATCATAAAACAACGTCTCACTCATCGGGCAGCGTATTTATAACCATTTCATCTAATAACTTTATGTGAGGCGGCTTTTAGAGTTAGACGTCTGGTTCCTATCACCACCACTGTAAACAATTCTGACTCAGTTTTTCCAGAATGCAGCATTTCACCCCCAAACCCTTGAATGGCATCGTTTACATCTTAACCGTTCAAATATGAAGAATTTTGTTGAAAATTCGGTGGAGTTGCCCTTTAATGTAAGTTTCCCTACTGGACTTTTGATAGGGGGCAGTGTGTGTGACTAGTGCAGTCCGCCGGTCCTTTTTCAGAAGGAGGGACCTTAATGTGTTTCGTCAGCAGCTGATCAACTATGGCTGGGCTGCAACCTCAGGTAGCCTGGAGCTGAGCCGAAATAGCTAAGGACCCGATTACATTGACTTATTACTGTATTTTAATGCATGATACACTTCAGCAAGTATCTGAATTTCTGTTCCTGGAACCACAAACTCGTATTCTGGCTGTGTTTTATTTAGCTTAGCTTAGTTTAGCTTAGCTAGCTAGCTGGCTAAACTGACTGTGTTTATCTGCATACGTGGCAGTAACAGAGCAAGCATGTTATTGTTTGGAGCACATTCTGTCAGTGTAATTATTAGGCTTGTAATATTTCATGACTCAGTTTTGGTTGAATTATTGTCGTGTTAGGACTCTTTAAAGTGCAAATTAGCCTACTAGGTGGGCTAAATGGCCAAGTTGGCTCGTCTGGATAGCAGAGCTAAGGCAAATATAGCCTCATAATAACGTCATGACAACTACTATCGACGTGTTTCCCCCACATTTTACAGTGAGATGCTGAACAGTATCAGAATTAACTACCCGCAAACCTAAATGAAGTGTGGGTTGATACTCCTGAGTAAATTAACCTGCCATTTCTAATATAAGGCGCCCCTAAGGTGACATGGTGATTATTTTTCAATAAAGCGTGGGCACGAATTAATACACTGCTCAAAAAAATAAAGGGAACACTTAAACAACACAATATAACTCCAAGTAAATCAAACTTCTGTGAAATCAAACTGTCCACTTAGGAAGCAACACTACATGCTGTTGTGGAAATCATTGGCGATTAGCAAGACACACTCAATAAAGGAGTGGTTCTGCAGGTGGGGACCACAGACCACTTCTCAGTACCTATGCTTTCTGGCTGATGTTTTGGTCACTTTTGAATGTTGGTGGTGCTTTCACACTCGTGGTAGCATGAGATGGACTCTACAACCCACACAAGTGGCTCAGGTAGTGCAGCTCATCCAGGATGGCACATCAATGCAAGCTGTGGCAAGAAGGTTTGCTGTGTCTGTCAGCGTAGTGTCCAGAGCCTGGAGGCGCTACCAGGAGACAGGCCAGTACACCAGGAGACGTGGAGGAGGCCGTAGGAGGGCAACAACCCAGCAGCAGGACCGCTACCTCCGCCTTTGTGCAAGGAGGAACAGGAGGAGCACTGCCAGAGCCCTGCAAAATGATCTCCATCAGGCCACAAATGTGCATGTGTCTGCACAAACGGTTAGAAACCGACTCCATGAGGATGGTATGAGGGCCCGACGTCCACAGATGGGGGTTGTGCTCACAGCCCAACACCGTGCAGGACGCTTGGCATTTGCCAGAGAACACCAGGATTGGCAAATTCGCCACTGGTGCCCTGTGCTCTTCACAGATGAAAGCAGGTTCACACTGAGCACATGTGACAGACGTGACAGAGTCTGGAGACGCCGTGGAGAGCGATCTGCTGCCTGCAACATCCTTCAGCATGACCGGTTTGGCAGTGGGTCAGTAATGGTGTGGGGTGGCATTTCTTTGGAGGGCCGCACAGCCCTCCATGTGCTCGCCAGAGGTAGCCTGACTGCCATTAGGTACCGAGATGAGATCCTCAGACCCCTTGTGAGACCATATGCTGGTGCGGTTGGCCCTGGGTTCCTCCTAATGCAGGACAATGCTAGACCTCATGTGGCTGGAGTGTGTCAGCAGTTCCTGCAAGATGAAGGCATTGAAACTATGGACTGGCCCGCCCGTTCCCCAGGCCTGAATCCGATTGAGCACATCTGGGACATCATGTCTCGCTCCATCCACCAACGTCACGTTGCACCACAGACTGTCCAGGAGTTGGCGGATGCTTTAGTCCAGGTCTGGGAGGAGATCCCTCCTCATCAGGAGCATGCCCAGGCGTTGTAGGGAGGTCATACAGGCATGTGGAGGCCACACACAATACTGAGCCTCATTTTGACTTGTTTTAAGGACATTACATCAAAGTTGGATCAGCCTGTAGTGTGTTTTTCCACTTTAATTTTGTGTGTGACTCCAAATCCAGGCCTCCATTGGTTGATAAATTTGATTTCCATTGATGATTTTTGTGTGATTTTGTTGTCAGCACATTCAACTTTGTACAGAACAAAGTATTCAATGAGAATTTCATTCATTCAGATCTAGGATGTGTTATTTGAGTTCCCTTTATTTTTTTGAGCAGTGTATATTGAGCGCACATTATTTTTTTTTATGACTCATGGTCTCAATATATTAATTTGTGACCACTTGTTATTAAACATTAAACACAAAGTCACCTCAGGGGTTATAAAGGCATTCTTAAATCTTTGCACAAAAGGTTTTTCTGCCAGTAAAATAATACACTCTGAATGGTTATAAGGGGGTTGGGTTTTTTTTTGTTTTTTTTTTAATTGAGGGGTTAGAAAAAGAGCTAAATTTCTCTACAATAATGCTAAGCAGGTCTGAAAAATATTCATGGGTGGTTGATCTGCTAGTATCTTTCAATAGCACAGCCACACCTTGAGGTATGGCATCCATAACTATAGAGAATTCTTTCGGAGTGACGGAGATGATGTGGGTGGATAAGGATTCTGAATAATTGAGTACCCAATAGACCAAATCTAGTTATTGCTTGTTCAGAGAGACTGAAGTGAGACACAACGGTTCAGACAGTTGCTTGTTAGTAGAGATGGACCATTTTATTGACCTCAGTCAGTATCCCCTTATAATAACAAGAATCATAAAATTAAATATATTTAACTATTGCTGATGCATGAAAATCAAATTGAAGTAACTTTGGGTCTCAAAAATAAGTTTTGGGTACTGTTTTGCTTTACAATGCCTGCACGTACCTTTCTACCATGGATATATATGAAGTATTCATTGCCAGAATATTATCTCAGAACTATTATAAAACAACATCTCAGGCATTAGGTGTTGTACTTATAACCATTTCATGTCATATGTTTCTTTGATGTAGCATAAAGGCATTAAACGCTTGAGCCTTCTGGCTGCCATCACCACCACTATTAACAGTTCTGTCTGGAGAAGGGAGCATTTCACACAATTTTAAAGAAATCTGTGGAATTCTGCTTTAAGAGAAATTAACCAGCATTCCTACTATCAATAAAATGTTTACACCATATAATAATACATTATAAAATTTATAGCTAGTCTTATAGTGATGTGACAGGCTAATTCAGTCTGCCAGCTAACCCAGTGTGGGACGATTCATAGTAAAAAACAAGCATTGGGTGTGTTATGTTAGCTGTTAAATGCTGTTTTTCCTTAGAATCAGAAGATGGAGAATGCTTCACAGAGCTATAGTTGGAGGTAATGCATAACTCAGATCAGTTTTGCCTGTGATTAACATGTGTTTTCCATATAGGAGGATCCGTTGAAAATGTCTTACAGAGAAAACTGGAAGTGAGTATATTTTTTTTATTCAAAAACTCATTTTCAAGGTAAATTTGGTGCCTAAATTCCTGGTCAGTCTTGGTTTGACATGACAAGTATAAGAATTTTGGATTTTGTATGTTTCTTGCGAATTCCACAGCGATTATTTAGTGCGCTCAAAGTCAGTGTTTGTCAAAAATGGAATAATACTCTAAAAAAATCAATTTATACAGTTTCCTACCGTCCATCTAGTCAATAGTTGTTATCCAAAGTCTGCTTCTTTAGTTTTGCACTGGAGCTATGAGGCTAATGTTTTACTAATGTATTGTATGTTACATTTGCATTATGTAGTTCCATTGCTTTTTAGCTGCCTTAGCCTTGTAGTTCATAGTGTAAAACGTCCTTGGCCGATTGACTACATTTGAGGACACTGGGTAGATTTTTCAGGCAGGCGTTCCTTTAAGAGCATTGGGCTTAATGTGCTTTGAGGTAAAATGCTTTTTGATAGTGGGCTCTGTTCTGTGAAAACATTTACTTTGTTTTAAAATGGCTCATTGTAGAGAATCTTACTTAATTGATTTCTTTACAGTGGTGGTGAACCAGTGAACCTACACCTTCCTTCTTTTTTTATATCAGCACCCTGCATGTACCTCTCTGCCTTAAATGTATATAAAAATGTATGTTTTAAACCAAATGCTTGTCTCAGAACTGTTGTAAAACAAAGCACATCAAGCAGCAAGTTTGTAACCATTTCCTGCAATAACTGATGTAAATTTTAGATTTTTGAAAAATCACTGAAATTCCCTTTTGCTATAATTATAGTTTTGTGTATTTATGCGAGTTGTGACTGAAGTGCCTTTTTGTGTATGTTTCTGTTTGACCACATGTTTGTCTTTCTCTAGAGTGCAGCATGAGAAGCTGCATGTGAAGCACCGAGGTCATGAGGCCATGCATGCCGAGATGGTTCTGATCCTCATCGCTACGCTTGTGGTCGCTCAAATCGTGCTTGTCCAGTGGAAACAGAGACACTGCAGATCATACAATGTGAGTGCCACACTGTTAGCGAAAACTAAATGCTCCAAAGTTCAATTCCCTGGAATGTTTCTATTGATCTGTTTCTCATCATCACTGTGTTAAGCTTTTAACAGTAGTCACTGGTTTTCATAGATCTGTTTCTTAATGGGTACATGCATTTACAGTTAGTGACGCTGCTGCAGATGTGGGTGGTGCCTCTGTACTTCACCATAAAGCTTTACTGGTGGCGGTTTTTGTCAACATGGGGCATGTTCTCTGTCATCACCAGCTACGTCATATTCAGAGCAACAAGGAAACCTCTTTCTGGTAGAACACCCAGGTAACATTAAATGGACATGTCCTCGGCTATTGTGAATGAGCATTTATGAGCATATTTTCTAAGACTTCATAATAAGTTTAATTATTATTGCTTATCACAGAAGATTTTCTCTATAATCTAAGCAAATGTGTATCTCTTTTACAGGATGGTGTATAAGTGGTTTCTCCTCATTTACAAGCTGAGCTATGCTGTAGGTGTGCTCGGTTACCTTGCCATCATGTTTACTATGTTTGGATTCAATGTTTTCTTTAGGTATGTGAACTTTTGTTCAGTATTAGACTTCAAAGAACTGAAATTTTCATTCAGTTGGATGTCACATTTTCTAAACATCTGTTTAAAAAAATATTTAGTCTGGTAAGTATGATTAATTTTTAGTGATCTCTTTTGCAGTAACTTAAATGTATTTCTCACTAAAGCAGGAATATTTAGATTAGTTGATTGATTGAAAACAGTACATGCTGCCACGTTATAATGTAGCTCATTCCTTTTGTGATTAGCAAGTAGGATTTTCTGAAAACGAATATGGACTAACCAGCTTGTTGATTTGGGTAGGATCAAAGCAGAGGACTCCATGGACGTAGGCGTCATCATGCTGTTCTATGGGCTGTACTATGGAGTGATGGGACGAGACTTTGCTGAAATCTGCTCAGACTATATGGCATCTACTATTGGGGTACGCATACTTTCTAATTTACTAAAATAAACATATGCATATTTCTGGCATTGTGCATTTGTTCACAGCTTATTTAGGTGTTATTCATAGTAAGGGTCTTGTATTGTAAGTCAAAAAGGTGGACTATTTGATCATGTTAGACTAGCTTATTGTTTTTCCTGTTAAGTCACTTTCATTTTCATTAGTTTTCATGGTTTAGTAAACTGAGTTGCCAGTTCATGGGGACACTTACCCACCTCCTTAAACCTATTGGCCATTTTATCAGATACATCTACCATATATATGCACTTTACAGTAGCGTTGAGTGATATGGCAAAAATTCTGTTTCACAATCACAGAGTTAAAAAAAAAAATAGACCAGACAGTATACAACAGCAGTGCCACATTTAAAACTGTACAAATCTATGAGTACAATGGTTTTTATTCAGTATTTCAGACTGAGAGAATACTCAAATTGTGCATGTTGCCAACAACAGTACTTTTGACTGATTGTTGCAAATTAATCTAGGTCTCTATCCAGCTGAGGCATTTTCATTACAGACCTTCTAAACAAGTTTTTGATTAAACACTGGAAACTGCCCTATACAAAACAGTTTATTTGAAACTTACACCTCCTTAAACTTTATTTTTCTTAAATACAGATGCTACCATTTCTATGGCAAACAAGAACATTTATTTAGGACAGTCTGGAAAACAGAATATTATGAGCCCTTTGAATTAAAAATGCCACTGAACTTGTTCATAAGCTAAAATGGATAGACGTTTAACAGCACCATTAAAAAAAAAACCCCACATGCGAAAGGATAATGGCACTTTCATTGAAACCACCGATAACTTGTGACATGACATGCAGGAATCCATACAAGGCATAGACTACACAGCAAATCGTCAAAATAACCACTACTGCGTCATAAATATTAAAGTACTTCTTTCATCATGTGATCTAGACTGTCCAGTTACTTTTACATTAGATGGATTTATATTTAGATGCCTGGTTTGTAATGAATAGCTGACATTAACAGGCTGCCTAGCTGAGTATCAGTCATTATGCTGCCTGATATTCGAGTTGCTTTAACTAACATGCTAAATTACATTGGACATTTGAAACTGAGCCCACTGACTGGAAATTTCAGTAATAAACACGCAAATATTAATTACTGCTCCATATTAGAACGGAGATGAAGTTACTTTCAAGTATACAGCATGTCTTCTGTGTTGTCCTCTTTGTCTGTTGCAGTACTATAACATGGGTGGGATGCCATCTCGGAACCTGAGTCATGATATATGCGCTGTGTGTGGACAGAAGACGATTGTCGACGTGGATGAAGAGGGCATCATTGAGGACACCTACCAGCTCTCCTGCAATCATGTGTATGGGCTCTAAACTCACTGGCATTGTGCAGTTTAATGTGTCCTCTGCTCTGCTATACCTAATTAGACTCTTGAAAGTGCAGAGTTAGAACATGAATTGGCCTGGCATGACTGTAATAGCTTTGCATGCCAAAAGTAAATGTAATTTATTAATTTATTCATTAGGGCTGTCACTGTTGATTTTAATTAATGATCAAGTAATCAATAGATTTCATTTATATATTAACAACTGGGTGTGTTCATCCGGCTTTGTACCGTACTGTAAGAGAGACCAGTAGGAAAATGTAAAATATGCTATTTAGGGGTTAGAGTCGTAACATGATACTTGAGCCATGATATATCGCGATATTTAAAGATTGGTGAAATGCTAAGTATTGCAGTGTGGTATATTGTGATTTAGTTTTTGACTGCAAATTATTCCTCCAAAACTTTATCCAGTGAAGCTCATGTAGTTCTAACTTTGTTCCTCTCAGTTCTAGATCTTCTTTTATTATGGCAAAGCACACAAATCAACATTCAACAAACTTTAGCTTTACTTACATATTCAGCAGATGCAGATATTTATCTGTGAAGTAGAAAATGAACATTCAAAACAGGGTTTATCATTACAATTTAAAACCCCAAACCTGTGTTTACTTCCTAATCATATTAATATTGCTATTGTGAACAAACAATATACAAGTACAAAGTGTGTTCTATGATTAATGTTCGACTGTCAAACAAATGACAAATAAATCACATAAACTTTGTGTCCAAAAGCTAATAACCAAACAAAAGCTAACCTAGGAAGCATAATAGAGCTATCAAGCTATTTGATAGCTTGTTTTACTATTTTTTCTCCTCTCATGCATTGTGTTTACATCTGCTTAAGTTGCTGGGAATGTTGGACTGAGGGATGATAAGGATTTGCACATTAGAATATTATGACCACGTCCAGACAGTTCTCAGCTCTGATCAGTGTTTTTTCAAGCTGAGAGTTTTATTATATTTACTTGCTGGATATTTAATACAACATTCAAATATAATATATTTTAGCTGATGGTCTGATCATTAACAGTGGACTTCATACATGAACATTTAAGTAAAAAAAAGTTGATACTTGTGCTTTCATATATGTGTTGTATTGATTTTTTTTCCACTCACCTCATTATCATCAAACTGTCAACTGATCTTTGTTAAAAAAAGCATTATAATATTTTAGCAACACATTGATATATTACCACTTAACAGTGATTCCTTTGTTAATCAAATGCCTTGCATGCAGTTAAGATTCTCAGTTGTTATCTGGATAGTTCCTTGTAATATCTCTAAAATAGGTATGATTAAACTGACAAAGCATATAAACTGCTGTTTCCTGTTGGTCAACAGATTTCATGAATTCTGTATTCGTGGCTGGTGCATTGTGGGAAAGAAGCAGACTTGTCCATACTGCAACGAGAAGGTTGACCTCAAGAGAATGATGAACAACCCGTATCCTTTGAATTTATATCACTCTCCAAATACCAGGTTTTCTTTTGTTCATGACCATTTTCTTGTAGGATTACTGTCTGTTATATTACAGTGAGGATTTTGCTGTAGATTTTGTGGTATCCATATCATCCCTGGGTGTACGCTGCTTTTGTCTATTGCAAAAATCAATGGCATTTTCTACATTCGACCCTGTCGCACTCTGTGGTTATTCAACAAGTTCTAAAGGCTACGTGTTTTGTCTTAGGCATATTAGGATGAAGAGTTGAAAGCCCATTTTTGACTATTTTTTATATTTTATTGACGTAAATAATTGAACTTTCCATTTTGTCACTACCAAAACAATCATAACACTACCAAACCTTTACCAAATGTTTCAGGAGTGACTGTTTCGATAGTGACAATTTTAGCTAATTTTAAGCATGACTGAAAAACGTCAGCTAGGGCATAGCTAGACACACACAAAATCATAATATTTTAATTAAAACACAAATAAGTTTACTTAATTGCAGAAAATTTGTGTTTCACTAGTGGCATGTGGGGACACAGTCTCACTTCCTGCTTTAAAGTGGCTAAAATAAGGCTCTACTTGAGGACTAAAACTTTTCGTGTTTTGTTAATGACATTAAAAAATAAACTCAAGGGCCCCCGAGTGATGCAACTGTCGCCCTAAGCGTTCGCCCTATCATCAGGAGATCAGGAGTGATGGTACAGTCATCCATGGCCGGAAGTCCAAGAGAGCACAATTGGCCTCACTCTCTGGGTGGGTAGGATGAACCCCCCCCCATCACTGAACGCAATGCTAGTCAGCGCAAGCGTCTGTTAGCTGTCGTAACAGATCTGGCGGTTGGCGCTTTCCTTCGAGCACGTTCAGCTGTCCAATGACGTTGTGTGAGCGTCAGCTTGAAAAAGATGTGGTGGCGCCTGTGCTAGACTTCACCCTCCTAGCGCTGGTGGTATCATGTGATTGGGGGAGTCCTAACTAGTGGGTGGAATTGAAGATGACTAAATTGGGGAGAAAATGGAGAAAAAGGCAAAAAAAAAAAAACTCGATCTTTTAATTTCACATCATAAGAAATTAAAAAGGTCTAAACAAAGTAGAAAAAATACAAAAAGTGTTATTTTCAGTAAGTCGAATTTTATGGGTTAGGGTTTGGGACAGACATCTCCCAGTAGAAAGTGCCCTATAAATAATGACTTTGTTTATGTTTAGCTTATTACTACCTAAATTCATGCCTTTAAATAGATCATAACAATTGAGCTGAGTAATTAATTGTTATTTTAAGTAGTATAGCTAGTAAAGCTAGGCATGCGCTCGGTTGTCTGTCAACCTCAAAAGAACAGTGCCCAGCAGGTGCTATTGATTGTGGCTAATGCTCATTGTTGTGGTTTTTATGTGCTGCTGTATTTTAAACCATAATCGTGTCTTAGGTTCTGTCAGCTTCCTTAAGTCTGAATTCCAGCTGGGAGAGAACACACGTTTTGTACGGACAGCTGTTGGATTGGCTGAGGTACCTGGTTGCTTGGCAGCCAATCATAATCGGCGTTGTGCATGGGATAAATTTCTCACTCGGCCTTGAGTAAAGTTGGAATACGTTGGAGTGTTTACTACTGGAATATTTCTTTGTAATTTAGAAGCTTTATGAAATAGACCATGGCTTTTATACATTATAATTTATTTGATACACACAATGACAGCCACATTAATGGCCTCAGCTGTTCTCAGCACTCTGAAAAATGAGTTACAGTGACTCATATGAAGACATATCTCTTGCACATCAAAACTTTGTTACTGTAGTTTTTTCTGAGTGGTTCTTATCACACCTATCAGAGTTTTGCCTCATGAAGCCATCTTTTTCCTTTGTGACTGTAACTCTCAGTGCCATTACATACAGTAGATAGTGTCAGTTGATTTCTGATGATAACCACTGTTAAAAGTCTGTCATTACGTAGTATATTTTGTCATTTTTGAGGGAGTATGGACCCTGTTGTCCTGTAGGCTGTTTTATTCAGGTTGTGTAAGGATGCAGCACTGCTATTATGAAAGTCTAGATTTGACCAGTCTGGTGGGGCCAGATGTGGTCTTGTAATGAGAGTACACATCTGGAGACAGCCATAAAAGATGCTCGCTCAAACATGGATGCCTGGAATTAGGGGAGCCAATTGAAATAGCAAATTGCTCTGCTGTACTTAGCAACTTGGCAACACTATCCAACAATAACACGCTTTTTAAAAAAGTATACATTAAATAGCCTTTTCATTAAACACATCTGCACTATCAGATACACTTACCATATAGGTGCACTTTATAGTTCTACAATCACAGACTGTCATCCATCTGTTTCTCTGCATCATTTGTTAGCCCCCTTTGCCCTTTCATCAGTGGTCAGGACCACCACAGAGCAAGTGTTATTTGGGTGGTGGATCATTCTCAGCACTGCAGTGCCGCTGGAGTTTTTAAACACTCACTGTCCACTCAATTAGATGCTATACAGTTTGTGTTAGTCTTCCTCTGGTCTTTTATTTGTGGTCAGTTTCTGCTGCTGTTGGCCAGATATTTTTGGTTGGTGGACTATTCTCAGTCCAGCAGTGACACTGAGGTGTTTAAAAACTTCTACTAGTGCAACACACACTAACACGTCACCACCCTGTCAGTATCACTGCAGTGTTGGGAATGACCCACCACCTAAATAATACCCTCTCTGTGGTGGTCCTGTGGGGGTCTTGAATATTAAAGAATAGGGTAAAAGGAGTCAAACAAAGTAAGCAGAAAAATAGATGGACAGTCTGTAATTGTAGAACTATGAATTCAACCAATGTGGTAAGTGGAGCTGATAAAATGGACAGTGAGTGTAGAAACAAGGAGGTGTACTTAATGAAGTGGCTTGTCAGTGCAGATATTATACAGATGTTAATGACGGTTTAAGATGGAATTTTAACAAGTTGTCTCCAGACATGGGGCACACCTCATATCTCTAATTATGTGGCCAGATTTCCTTTCCAAGTATCATTTTTCTCGAGTTTTCGTTTCGGACACAAGGAAGAGATGCCAAAATGAGATGTCCTTGATTTATCCCTTGTTACTGGGCTTAATGAATCTTCCAGTGACAGGGTTGCCCAGTCCTGATCCTGGAGATCTACCACCCTGGAGAGTTCAGATCCTGAAGGCCTTCATCACCTGCATCAGGTGTGGAGCTGAACTCTGCAGGGTGGTAGGTCTCCAGGACCAGGATTTGGGTACCCATGGCCAACAGTAATACTACACTAATATCTTATCAGCTGACTTATCATACAGAAATGCTTAGTTTGCCAAGTTTTGCAGTATCGTCCCATTAACACTCCTCTATCCTTGATTCCTCCACGCGCTTTTAAGTAACTGATGTTTTTAAATATGGTAGACTTCTTTAAACAATTCTGCAGGGCTAGAGGAGGTAGGAGAGATAATTGAAGGGGCAACAATGAGAGTTGTGAGGACCTTCCATGTACTCTTATTACGAGGTCACACCTGGTCCTGTGAGTCTACACAATGTAGTTATGGCCAGTTACTGATAAGTAACTGGATTTTGGCAGTTTACAGTTGTGAAAGTTTCTATAGTCTCTATTCCTGGTTATTTTCTTGTAGTTAGTCATAATTTGAAATACTTCATTTGAATTAACGCAGTGTGGTGCATAGTCTTCTTATAATAGATTGAAATATTATCTACATCTTGGGAAGAAGATCATGTTTTGGCTTGTAAAAATATGATTGCCGGCAAGACCCAACATAATTCAGAAAATATTATCAAAATAACCTCAGCTACACTTTACAAACGCTCCATTCTCTTTGACTCCACTGTTTTGAGTGTGTTCTGGAAATGAGTTGGGACTGATTTTGTAGCGTTTCTGAAGTCGCATGCGTTTTCTGTATTTGCAGTGCATTTGTAAGATGTAGCAGTGGTGGAGCCATTTTGATGAAGGTGCTTTCTCAGAGTATCTACAAATTTGCAGTGCATTTTATTATTTTTCAGAGTATTTGTTAAATGCAGCGCATATGTTGTCATTTTGATGAAAGTGTTTTCTGCGCTTGAAGCTCGTTTTTCATTTTGCAATTTGTTGGATCTTGTCGGACACTGCATTAAACACTGTGCACGAGGTCCACAGATGTAGAAGGATGTGAGATTAGGGTTGTTTTAATGGTTCTGAACTCTGAGCATAATAGTTTGTGTTAAATTAGGTTTTACAGTAGGTGAATGGCTATTTTCCGTTAATAAACTGTGAGAGAGAGGAAGCCTGCAATTGCAGAATAACTGACAATGTGTGAAAAAACAGACTATTAAATTTGCACAATTCTAGACAGCTTTGCTTGGCTGTTGCTGATGTTGGCTTGTACAAGTGTTATTATTTCTGGTGTGAAATGGAAATTAATTTTGGTAAACAGAGGTGATTCATATTTAAGTAATAGGAAAGTATGTGTATGTTTACAGTCATAGGTTTGCACTTTAAGTTAGATGTCAGCAGTTCATTTTAAACTATTTAAGGGATACTCAAACGATTTTGAATTTTATTTGTTCCAAAAAAAAGTGCCATATGTTTGTCTATTTATGTCAGTGTTTTAAAATACATGCACATTATTGAACTGTTATTTGGTATTAATGTGTTTTGTGCAATTTGTTCTGCTTATTTATCTTGGTTTTCAGGGGTTCATCTGCCTGGTACTGTAATTTAAAATAAAATTGTCAATAAAGGAAAAAGCCTAACATCTTATTGTCACATTTATAGGTTATTAGAAATATTACAGAGAAAGAAACTAACTTTTTGAAGGGGAATTATGGATTAAGGTTGTGCGTTACCACAGGTCTCATTAAATCAGTGTCTGCTGCTTTAAGTAAAGATGGGCTTCCCAGAGCCAAAGACCCTCTGGCAGTGCAGCATGGGGCTTCTCCTCTGGCGAAAAGAACCTTCAACCAGCAGCAGTAGTCTTTCTAGTCTTCCTTCTTTGGACTAAATAAAAAATTGAGAAATTAGTAAAATTTTAGAGAGAAGCTTGTTCGCATACCAAAAATCTACTTTTTGATTTTGCACACTTTCATGCCTATTTGAAGACTCCAAGACTCTGACTCATCTTTTGCTTTAATGAAAAATGTATAGGACTCATAGAACTAATGAGTATTTTCCTAGAAAAGAAGCACAACATTTTCTGCAGTCAATATTTTAATGTTATTCGGCATCATGATGATATTATTGATAGGGTGATACCAACATTAGAAATCCAAGCAGGCATTTGGCTGACTTTAAACTGTAAACAAGCATATTTCAACAACAAAAATGAAATGAGTAATTTAGTGTCTGGCATTTCCATCGATAAACAAAAAAAAATGACAAATGTTAAGGCGTTTTTGTACAGAACATGAACATTCGAGTGAAATCTTAATTTAACCAATAAACATAACATTCATCCACTGTTTTTTTCTTCAGTGCAAAAGAAACAATCTTTACAATAGTAAACAATCAACTTCAACAAAATCAGAAAGCAACATGATATTTTAATGTGAGAGAAAGAATGGAATGACCAGTATGGTACCCTTACGTTGACAAAGTCATGGAAATACTATTGCCATAGAAATGCATCATGAGTGGATGAACCTGTCTCTATTATTCTAGCATTACTAGTGCGTAAAACATGCCTCTAAGAAAATCTACCATATACACCAGAATGGTTTGTCAAACATTGAATGGCCTAGCAATATCAAACCTGATACAGAATGGAGAAGCTTAAGTACATTAACTACTGGCCAAAAAGGAAAAAAAAGTTAACAGACATACTGCAGGAAACCAAACCAGTGAAAACTGACCACTTTTTTCCACTTTACTTTGAAATATTATTCAAGATAAATACATAAATATAGAGTTTTTTTTTCCCTTTTAAATAGTCTTTAAATAAAAATAGAGGCCTAATATTTGTTGATTAAAGAGCTAGCGTAGTCCTAAAGGTGTAGCATGGGTCAACGTTTAGGCTCGTACACGGTCATAGCGTGTTGACATGAAACAAATTTTATTTTCATGTCCAAGAACTACAAATTCTCAAAGTTTTACATCTGAAGCCTCACTTGTTGCACTGTATTAGCAAGATTCTGTAATCAGGATTAAGAACTGTCTAGAGGTGGAATGTGCACAGAACATTTCTGTTCTATTCTATTGTACAGAATTCACTGCAGGACACCAGAACTAGGTTTATGCTTAACTGACAGCGTGGAGTAAACTTTGGTGGTATGCATTGGTGAATTAATGGAATAGTCAAAGAACCTAGAAACCTATTCAGATATTGTCTAGCCAAGTGGTCTTGAGCTAATCGCTTCTTGAGAACGATGATTGTGGAAAGTGTTAGAAGAGTCTGTCACTGAAAGCTGTGTTTACGTTGATCATAAGTATTGAGCATAATTCAGACTTAGCAGGTGTAGTAGTAGAACATGCGCAACTCACCAATGTACCTACCATATGCCGCGCAAAACTCTACCACATTACAGCAGGTATTTGGCAAAGGCATCCAGATTCTGCTAATTAACTTCGCAAGGCATAGCCCTCCTAAATATTCATCAGACAGCAGTGACAACAAAGAAAGGTACTGTATCCAAGCCACGAGAGCCCATTCCAGCAAGGAGGAAGCAGTTAACATAGGGAGAAAGGGTGATATACATCTGCAAATTAAGTGCAAGAGCTCACATGGCATGTCTGTGGTGTCCATGAAGCATTGCCCTGTTACAAGCAGCGCGCCTCCCGGATCACTGAAGGTAACGGTACACTTTGAAACAATGATTCCCAGAGTCGGCCACCACAACATGGCCATCAGACGTCAGGGCGAGACCTTGCGGCCCGTAAAGTGGATCCGCCGCCGTGTTGATGTAGGAGAGAAACGAGCCGCTGCCATCAAATACCTGAAGAGATGTGTACAAAAACAGTATGGTTACACTATGTCTTGTCATTTTGTGGAAAAAGCGAGTGTACACCAAGGTGCGCTGGAAAGAATCTCATTACTCAGACACTTAAAGTGGTGGTATGAGATGTCTATGCATTGGAGATGTAACTAAGCCAATTTTAACTGGATCTGTTTCTTCAAGCCACGTAATCTTTACTCCTCCCAAATGGAACTACGATGTTAGTAAAAACTAATTATGGCCAAAAAACAGCTGCATACAACATCTCATGTAGCCTTTTATGCTGTAAGCGTATGCCAGTTTCTTTCAGATATATATCTGAGGTGACTGGATAGAAGACAGTCCAGGGGCATAACGAAGGGGAAAGTCAAAGTAAAATTAAAAAATAGAGTTCCAAATCTAGAGTAAAAAAATAAAGTAAAAGATCTAAAGAAAATTGCCACCTAACAATGTGCAAGACGTAAAACCACTAAACTTTCATCTTTGAAAGGGAGGAGAAAATTAAGCTCCACTCTTGCTTCAGATCTGAAAAAATCCACAGGTATTTCTGTCCATCCTTCCACTGTGAGAGGACAGCTCAACACTATGATCTGTAAGGATGTGTAGGTGTCAAGATGCCAGGGTTGGGATAGCTACTGAAAAATTAGTAGCTAGCTACAATTTAGCTACTTTCCCAAAATTTGTAGCAAGCAACAATTTAGCTACTTTTCCAGAATTTTTAGCTACTTTTTGAAAAGTAGTGCATTACTTTTTAGCTACTTTCGCAATTGTCAGAATGTTTGTGAATCTCCACCTGACACACCAAACAAGCCCAACTGAAAGTGTGAACAAGACACTGCATTTAGTCATGTGCCAGAAAGAAACATACAATTGAAAAGCTGCAAATATACAAAAAGATCATCAAAAAGTAGTTTAAGCATAACAATCAAACTTACACAACCAAAGGTGAGATATCCAAAAAAAATGTAGACTAAGTAAAGGAAAAGTCAATCATTCCAGGTTTTTCAACTGTTGAAATAAAACTGCTCCAATTGAAACATTCCAGCAAGATATTTACAGACATGACATTCGGATTTCTTTGTTTAACTTCAGCAACACTTTAGCCTCACAATTCTCATTAGTGACCCTGGCTCTCCGCAGTGCGATTAGTAATAGTCTATTACGAAAATGTTTTTTCCGCTTTAGATAAGCCAGCGTTCGCCATGACACGGCTCTTTTACTGCCCTTTTACAGCTTCACAGCAGAATTAAATTTTAAGATAAATGAACATAATCCCCCTTTGCTGTAAACTAAAGCTCTGCTGATCGTTATAACACACAGTTCTAGCACAGTTTTCACAAACGGTCTTAAACGCTGGAGTTAACGCATAACTGCAAATTTTAAGATTAACAATCTTGCCTAGCTCGTAGCAAACAAAACGCCAAACAGAGAGATTTAAGACAAACATCGATAATTTGGAGACGAACAGACTTATTTGCATTTATAATCACTCCAGCTGGTTTCCTAAAACGTTATCTGCAACGAGAAACTGTCAAACACTAAGTCGCAAAGCTGAAGTCAGTTTCTCATTCTGCTGCTTCTCGTTCTAATTTTCCTGTTCCACCTTAACTGGCACAGCAGTTACATTCTACTGCGTCAGGCACCATTTAAGGTGGAACGGGAAAATTCAAACAGGTGGCGAATGAGAAACTTACTTCAGCCTCTGTAAAAAGTTGAACGTTGAGAGACATTTTACATGAAATTATTTCGCTTTTGAAAAAACTTAAAGCGAGTCTCCCAAAAAGAATGAAAGCTGTAATAAAGGCAAATGGTGGATGATCCCCTGAGACTGAAAAAATAAATGAATTATATATATATATATATATATATATATATATATATATATATATATATATATAAAAAACTATATAATTATATAACTACGAACCCAATTCTGTAAAATAGATATTTGCGGGGAAAAAGACGGATTTCGAAAGTCTGAAGTCGAAAGTGAACGTGAATTAATCTGGACATTATGTGAAATGCAAGTGTAAGCAGGCTCTTAGTTGATGTAAATTAATTTGTTTACTTGCTTTCCATGTTGTCAAGTTCGTCAACATTCCTCACTTTCATAAGTTGGGATTTCTCAGGGGTCATACCTGTATGCGGCTATTTCCCCAGTCCGCTACGATGATGTTCCCATTAACGTCCACTGCAACGCCTGTCGGAGCATTGAACTGACCGTTCCCCTCGCCATTAGAGCCAAACTTCAGCAGGAACTCACCTTCTGCACTGAACACCTGTAGGAAAGGACACAGATGACCAGTCAGAGAAATCAGAGACCAAATTAGGAGGTCATGCAAAGTTAGTTGATGTCATACAGACTCTGCAGAATCTAAATAAATATAACAAAATCAAAGACACATGTAGATAAACAAAAGGTTCTAAAAGCAAAATTCAGTTTCCGTTTTCAAACTTGAGCACAATTGGCCAACATGGCCAATTATGACAACTGCATTAAGCATTAAAAACAGTACTTAAACATTCGATAGTGCAGCTTACCTTTACTGAGTGATTATGAAAGTCTGTGACGATTATTTCATTATTGTTGTTCACTGCTGCAAAGTGGGGACCTGGAAAGACAACAAAATAAAGTTTTTGCTGTATTTGTTGCCAAGTACTACTGTGTAGTAGTGCTCCTTGGATCTTTCTTGACTCTTTGTGTGGACCTCACTTTACCTGCAAACTGCCTGTCACCATTGCCTCTGCTGCCGAACTTTGTTACTAGTTTTCCACTGGGCTGGAAGATGAACACCATGCAAGCTTTGTTGTCCACT